AACATACTGTTTTTGTAAATACATCCAGAAGACACTGATTAGCCAGTCTCCCAAGGGGTGGGGTGGAGTGGGGTGGGGTCTCAACCCTGCCATTTTGTTTCCCATCTGGACCAGTGAACTCTTCTCCTTAAAGAAAGAAAAATGAAACCCAAAGTCCTTACATAAGAAACTTTTGGGATTTGGGGGTGGGGGAAGAAACCAGTTTCTCTTGTTATCGTTGAAGTGTAAGGCTTTTTCTTTCTGCTCTAAAAACTTAATCCACAAAAACTGGGTGACGCCAACGAAATCACTTCAGGTGCTGGAAATGATTTCAGTTTTATGCTCTGTGATTAAGAGTCTGATAGCCAGGTGCGCCTTCCTAAATAGGGATACAATTTGTAGGGAAACAAAACGCCCTGCCTTCCCCTCGCCCTTCGTCCGTCACTCAGGCAGCCAGGGGCGATGGTTTGCGGCAGGCAATTACCGCGGAGAACATCGGGTGTAATGGGCCCTGGGAGGCTTTGTACCTTTCCCCCGACGCCGCAGTCGCCGGGGGCGAGGCGCGAGCCGGCTGCGTGGACCGTCTCCATCAGCGCGACGGGAGCTGTTCCGGAAAGGGGCAGGGAAGGGGGGGGGCCCGTGTTCCCAAAGAGCCTTCGCCGCGCGGGGAGCGGACGCTTTGGGGGAGGGCATCTTGTGAGTCAGAGGGACGTCATCTCAGTGAAGTGCTGCTGGTCTCTCTGGACGGAGCCTTTTAAAACATTGTAACGCTAGGGAGCTATCTTCACGGACGTCACAAACGTGTCTGAGGGCCGCATCAGTTATTATTACCGTAATGGCGATAACACGGCTCGGGGGCACGGGACGTGGTGAAAGCAGGTGCCTCTGAAGACACGTGTTCTAACTACAAAGGTCGCGCGCGGCCTGGTGATGAGGGCCGCCGGGGACCGGCCCCTTCCCGTCACGGTGCCCCTGAAGGGAAGGGCGTTGGCCCCCGCCCCCCAGAAAGGCAGTCACGAAGTCTGGGCCGGGGCTGGGCTGGACCTCCCAGCCCAGCGCCCCTTCCACGATCCCACAGCGCCTCTCTCCTCAGCGGAAGGAAGGAAGGAGGTGGGGGAGAGCGACGCTCTCGGTGGGAATAAAGTTTCCATTTCAATTATTCAGCTGATCCTTGACCCCCATTACCATGGATAATCAAAAGCTGGCTGGATGCATCATATTTTAAATAAAAACATTGTTTAAGTGGCCCTGAGGACGTGCAGACAGATAATTGCATGGGGCACTCGTGCAATTACCCTTTCGGGGGGGGGGGGGGGCACTTTTCTCTCTGCACAGAAACGGGAACGGCGGCCCTTGGCTCGGGGTCACACATCTGTGGAGTGCTCCTCTCCGAAGGGGCTCGGCAGGCACACCTCGTTTCCCATCACACGGGCTGTGGTTACAAACCTCTTCTGACAGTGAGGAGAGTGTGTGGGGGACGCTAAGGGGACCGGAACCCGGAGAGGAATAGGCTTAAATGCACACCCGAGTGCGCGTGTCCCCAAGGCACCGCGCTGCAAAGTCCCCAGAGCTGCCTCTGCTTGGAGGGTGGGCCTGCCCACCCCCCCCCCCCCCCAGGCTTTCCCTGTCAGGCAGGGTCCCCTGGTTTGTACGTTTGTAAGCCTCCCGGCACACGGTCTGGGTTTGGCCTGGGGAGCCAGGGGTTTGATAGGGTTTATCGCTCCGCGGACGTGGACAGAGGGCTGATCCCGTGCCCGCATCACGCAGAGATGAAGTGTTTGAGACACGCGGGACGCCACTAGGAGAAGGGGTGCCCACACAGAACTGGGCGTGCGCTAGGAGGGTCCCCCTCGGGAAGGGATGGCATCCGTGTTGCTTGGCCTTGTTTGGCCTGGGTTCTTCATGCATTGTGGTGAAACAAACATATCCACCCGTTCTCATTCATTTATTCAACACGTACTCTTTGGGGACCATGGCGCTGTGCTCTAGACGCTGTTCCAGGTCCACTGAGTACTTTGAAGAGCGCCACTGGAGTTGGGGCCGAGAAGGGCAGGTGGCAGGATGCGGGGACAGGGACAGCACCTGGGACCAGCCTGGGAGAGATAGTGTGGCAGCCACTGTTGACTCCTGAGGCAGCGAGAATTGCTTCTTTGCAAGGAGGCTGGGCCAGTCCCCAGAAAGTCTGGGGTGACAGGTGGCTGTGTGCAGAGTTGTAAGAGGGGGACTGGCTGCAGCCTGTGACTCTCCCTTCCTCTTTCTGCCACGGGACTGCACAGTCGGGGGGCCTGGGGAAGGTCCCAAGACCGAACCCCAAAGGCAGCGGACTGTTCTGTCCTTTCTGGCTGTGGCTTCTCAATAGGAACGCGTGTGTGCGACTCTTCACGCCTGTTGTCACCGGGATCCCTGGGATGTCTGAGGTTTTCTGGTTTTGCGGCCACTGCTGCTTGTAACTGCACAAGGTATCTGTGTTGTAAAGATGAGGCACCGAGGACTGCGGTGTCGCCCCGGCGAGGGAGTGATAGATCTTTTTTTTGTTTCCCTGGGGGAAAAAAGAGGTTGGAGAAAGCAAGGTCACCATTCTTTGGAAATCACGTTTCTTTGTTTTGGGTGACTATTGCCAACGCTGAGCTCAGTGGTTATCGGTTGCACCTGCTCTGGAAGGTTGACCTACATACGTCATGGCTCTACGTTGAGGTGCAAGTCGCCTACCATGAAATCCATCCTCCGAAAGTGGATGATGGAGTGGTTTTTCATATATTCACAGAGTTGTGCAGTCACCGCTATGGTCTAGTTCCAGAAGATTTTCAGAACCCCCCAAATAAACTCTGTACCAATGAGCCGCCACCCCCCCCCCCCCCCCAGCCCTTGGCAACCACAAATCCACTCTCTCTCTCTCTCCAGAGTTGCCTATTCTGGACATTTCCTATAAATGGAAGCCTACAACTTGTGGCCTTCTGCGTCTGGCTTCTCACCCTTAGCGTCGCATTTTCATGGGTCACCCACGTGCTGGCGGGTCTCAGGGCTTCATTTCCTTTCTGTTGCCTAATGATATTCCTTTGGATGCATGCACCGCATTCTGTTCCTCCTCGATGTGTTTACCTTCAATCAACTCCAAAGGTTTTTGTTGTTGTTGTTGTTACTGTTTTTAAACAATGTTTGAGTTCTCGTATAGGAAGCTTCTTCCTTCGTGTATCTCAATGAAGTCTGTTCAGACTGTAACTTTGGAGGAAAAAGGCTCTATGTCCTTCTGGAGGATAAAGAGGTGGATTTGTTCTTGAGGATCTCCTTAGCCACACCTGGGGCCACGTCTGGCCCAGGCCCCTCAGAGAATGGGGGTGGCAGCGGCCCAGGGAGCCACCTCAGCCTTTTCTGTTTCGGTCCCTCCTTTCCCACAGTGCCCAAGCTGCCGGGGCCCTCCCCACCGCAGGCGAGGCCCGTGTCTGCCGCTTGGGTGAGTGCTTGGGTGTGTCGTCGGCTCTGGCCAGCTTGTGTTCCCAGGATGACCCGCTCCGACTCGTCCACGGCTGCCGGGTTCCCTCCCCGAGGGGAAAAGGGCGCTCACAAGTTGTCTGCTCCCAGCTTGCCTCCTGCTGCCCCTCTACCTATCAAACTTATATACATCCTGCAATGCCCAGCTCATCTGTCATTTCCTCCAGGAAGCCTCCAGAAACCCTCTTCCTCGGGGCTCCAGCAAGGCTCTGTTTACGTGTCTGATGAGGCCAGGGGTGTTTCTTACAGTGTTTAATGACAGAGAAGTGCAAGTGCCAATAAATCAGAACGGATGGGGTCAGTGCTAGGCAGGTATTTACTCCTTGTTTGCTGGGTTGTGGAGATTTCCGGGGGTCCCAGAGGAGGGCAGGGGACACTGAAGTGTGGCCTCAGGCTGAGTTCCGTCTCGCTCGCGTGGACCACTTGCATCAGAGCTGGCTCTGCGTCGGTCACTTTCCCATTTTCACCTTCACATTTCCTGTGGCCTCTGGCATAGCCAGTGACGTGCCTGCTCATTGATGCTGGGGGGGGGGGGGGGGGGCCGGGGGGGGGGGGAGTCGACACCCTGTGAATCTGCACAATTTGGTTCTTCCAAAGCCTAGATCACTCAGCCAAATGAAACTCTCCCCCTTCCCAAACCGAACCTAGCTGAACATGACCAGCTAGATATTACTGATGGCAAAGTGGGCAAAGAAGCATCCTCTCTCCAGTGAAAAACTGGCAAAGCGATAGGAAACCAGCTTAAAGGTGTTACTAGGCCCCCAGCCTGTATGGCCGTGTGGCATCTGGTCTGTCCTGTCTCTCCCCTCAATGCACGTCTTTCCAGTAGTGTGCCCCATTTTGCCTGTCAGGCTCCACCACTTAGACAACTGTATTTTTCAACTCTCCATCACCCTCACGTTTGCTCCTTCCAAAGTCGGGGGGAGAGAGGGGGGCTCACTGTGGGTGCACAACTTAAGGGGACCCAAAACGCAGCCATCAGGATCACAGTTCCTGCAGTATGTTAAAAATAAAGAATGCAGTTCCACGTTGAACAAAATATCCAAGTTGTAAATAGAGACAGCATCACAGAGATCCTTGTGAGGTCTCCTGCCATCATCACCTGCAGTGGGAATGCTCGTTCTGGGCCCTGGGGACCCTCCAGGCGTGCACGGAGAGGCCCTGCAGATGCTCTTTCCAAGGCCGCACCCAGGAAAAGGGCCACCCTGGCTCCATTTCTCCCCAGCCTGCCCAGAACGTGTGATGCAGTAGGCCGTGTACCTCCCTTTCTGGCACCCGTCTCTGTTTATGGGTTGTTAGATCAATAGTCACAATTACTAGACGTGAGCTGAGGCTCTGTTTTTTCCCCTATCTGTGTCTATCTCTTCCTGTTTTCTAAGGGCCGCCACTGTGACATTAAGTGATGTATAGAAAATAGTGTACTTCCTATATCTGAGCCAGCCTGGGTTTCATCTCTGCTTGAGTCTCCTCCATGCTGCTCAAAATGGTACTTTTTCTCAGTTAAACACAGAGTTGATTCAAAGGCCAAGCAATGGGGGAGCCACCCTCTTTTGCTTTATTTTCTAAGACATAGGGAGCGTCTCTCTCTCTCCCTCTGTCCTTCGAGATGCTGCCTGCAGAGTGGGGACCGGTGGAAGATGTCTCAGACACCTTCTCAGCAAAGAGTCACAAACTCCCTACGCGCCGTGGGAGGAAGGCACGTGAACCCCTGGCTTCTTGGGGTGGCCAGCGCACGCGTCTTTTCTGGAACCATGGGTGTCTTCTCGGTTTCCGGCTAGGTCACTCGTGTTTGAGTCGGAGCATCGTTGGCCAAAGATCGTCACTCTTCGTAAAGGTATGTGACATGCCCTATGGGATAAGTATATAGAAAATGGAAGCTTAAAAAAAAAAAACCAAAAAAACCAAACTTTTTTTTCTTTTTTTTTTTACCCTGTGTTCTTAATGGTGTCTTTATCTTCAAGCACGCAGTTGAGAAGAAATACTACATAAAACTGGGTCTGACCCGGTTCAGTAATTCTCTTGTGTGCCTAACAGCACTGTTGCTATTTGTCAAAATATTTACTGCAGTTCATAATGGCTGTCAGAAACCGGGTCCACAGTCCATGTTCGATTAAACAAAAAAGGCAGACTAAACCTATAAGGCAATTTGTGGCTTTGTAAGCAGTTTTTCCCCATTGCTAGATCTAATTAAAATGACGGTGTGAATGGTTTAGAAATACTAGCTATGTGAGCCCAAGAGTTTGAAAGACTGAGTGTACAGGACACTATAAATACTTAGGTATTTGATACAGATCCTATTTATAGTGAGTCTACCGATCACCCAAGGGTAGCATTTTTCAGTGAGATTTACAAGGGACCATGGACCCTGGTCCACGTATTTAGACACATACTTGGCTTCCCAGTGTCCAAAATAGCTGAGAGCTGGAGGGTCTGTCAGATAAGGCATGGGACCGTGCTCTGAGAGGTAACGTGCTTCTCTGTTCCCGTAGCAAATCTTTCCGTAAGAATGAAACCAGAGATGTTATCGGCCAGAATGCAGCGAGGGGCAGGAAGCAAGCTAGAAAAACGATAGTGTCGGCTGGCTGGGAAAAGCAGAATAAACGTCAGGGCCGGTTTAAAATAACGTGCCTAATTCTCCTGCCCCAGAGATACGAGCAGGCATTTAGGGTCGCGAGGCTGGTGTTAATTAGAGCGGGTGTTTGGTTCTGCAGCGATCTTGGGGGCTGGGGGGGGGATTCTGAGAAGCCGAGGAGTGAAGGTGTACTTCCCCCATTGTAGTCAGGGGAGGGGCACAGTCCCGGAGGGGGAGGTCCGTGTGACCAGGGCCACCCAGAAGAGCCTAAATGATCACTGCCTGGTGGCCACTCCAAGAGCCGACTAGGTACCAGGCAGGGACCCTTCTCCTGGTAGAGGTCACACACGTGGACGCAGAGAACCAAGCTTGCGGAAGGGGGATGGGAGGTCTGTTTGATTAAGGGTTGGGGGGGGGGAACCTAACAGGCGGAGCACCTGCTGTGCACACACACATCACATCTACCGTGTTGTCCGATTTTCTGAAAAGGCGGACACGAGCCCCACTTCCGAGATCAGGAACGCTCGGCTTGGAGAGCGTGGGTGGCTTATCAAAGTCACGGAGTTTGTGGGTCGCGGCCGCCTCAAAGGCACGCTCTGTGTCTGGACTCCGGGCATTCCGGCGCTCACGCCGCCCCTCTGGACGTGGTGCCACGGCCGCGGCCGAGCTGCCCTGGGACGGCCGCATTCGGGGATTTCCGCAGAGCCCGCTTGGGGCATCCGGAGGAAGCCTTGTCTCCGCTCTGGCTTGCAACCAAGGGAGGGGCTTTTGCAGACCTTCACTGCTCCAGCTGTAGTTTCGGGAGGACCACTTTGTGTTCAAAGCCACGGCGGAGCCTTTCCATCTCTGGTAGCGATGTACGATGTCCTTTGAATAGAAGGGCATGTAAAGAAAAGAGGTCGATACAAAGAAGCCCGCGTCAAGGAAGGTGCTGTGCGTTGAGTCCGTTTCTGCCAGGGGAGCCCTGTGGCGTTCCAAGCTGGGGACACGGTTTTAGGGAAACTACAGGTGCTGCATTAAATACACTGACTCCTACACTGGAAAGGTGGTTCCTCTTTCAGTTCTCTTTTTGTTTACTAACTTACTATTTCTTATTTTAATAAATTAGTCTTTGTTTTGAGGTCATTGTAGATTCTCATGCGGTTGTAAGAAATAATCCAGAAAGATCTCACATACCTTTACCCACTTTCCCCTGATGGCGACGTCTTGTAAATCACAGGTACCCCTTGTGGTCACGCTCACTTTTCTCCTGCCTTCCTCCTCTTCACTCCCCGGAACCATCAGCCTGGACTCCAGTTGTATAATTTATCAATTCAAGTGTGTTGCCTGAGGGTGTTGTAGGTAAGCCAGTCTGACAATAAATTATATTAAAAAAAAGGGGGGGATCACATGACTAGAGTCGCACGGTGTGTAGCCTTTAGGGATTGACTTTTTTCGCTCTGCGTAATTCTCTGCAGGGGTGTTCCAGTTGTTCTGTGTATCCATAGCTTGTCCCTTCTTACTGTTGAGTGGCCTACGATATGGATGCACCATAGTTGGTTTCAGGTCATCTGTTGAAGGGCATCTGGGCCGCTTCCCGTCGTTTTGCTCTTATAAAGAGAGCTGCTGTGAACACTCATGTACAGGCTTTTGTGTGGACGTAACTTTTCATTTCTCTGGGATAAATAAATGCCCAGGAGGTGTGGACTGAATGGTAGTTGCATGTTTAAATTTGTTTTTGTTTTTGTTCTTGTTTGAAACTGCCAAACTCTTTTCCAGAATGGCTGTGCTACTCCTTGTTCACACGGCCACTGTATCCAATAACTTCCACATCCTCGCCGACGTCGGATGTTGTCAGTACTTTTTGCCATCCCGATAGATGTGCAGTGATATGTCACTGTGTCACTGTGGTTTTAATTTGCATTTCTCTGATGGCTAAAGCTAATAATGTTGGATGTTTTTTCATGAGCTTGTGGGTGTGTAGGTACTGTTTTCACTGTCTTATCAGGAGGGACTTTCACAGAGCAAATATTTTTCATTTCGATGAGACCTGTTGATCAGTTTCCCTCCTACGGCTTGCGCCCTTGGTGCCGGGTCTGAAAACTCTTTCCTCTGCCCTCAATCCTGAAGATTTTTCTCCCCTGTGTTTTCCTAGAGCCCGATGGTTTTACATTTTACATTCAGGTCTGTTTCCCATTTTGAGTTAATATTTGCTGAAGCAAGGTATGAGGTCTAGGCTGACCTGTATTTTTTGTGCCCTGTGGGTGTCAGTTGCCCCAGTGTCATTTGCTGAAAAGGTTACACACTCCTCACTAAATTGCCTTTGAACCTTTGTTCAAAATCAGTTGGGCATATACGTGTGGTTCTATTTCTGTTTTGTTTCTTTTTTTTTAAGAAAATTCTGTTCTGTTGATCTGTGTGTCTGTTCCTCAGCTAATACGACACAGTCTTGATTACTGTGCTGTGTAATAGGTTTTCCAAGTCAGGTAGACTGATTTGATTCTTTCTATTTTATTATCCTTTTCCAAATACTGAGTTATTCCAGTTCTCTTACCCTTCAATGTAAATGTTTGAATAATCTATGCCCACACGAAGTTTTGCTGGGATTTTGATAGGAACTGAGTTCAGCCTATGTAGTAGTAGTCTGGAGAGAACGGACGTTCTTTACTAAGGTCAGTTTTCCGGTCCATGGACACAGTGTCTCTTTCTGTTTACGCTTTCTCACACTGAGTTCTTCATCAGTGTTTTACACTTTTCAGCATCTAGGGACTGTACGAGCTTCATTAGATTAATACCTAAGTCTTCCCTTTTTCTTTGAGTGTTTATAAATGGCATTGTGTTCTAAGCTTTGGTTTCCAGTTGTTCATTGCTAGTAATAAAACTGGAACTGACTTTTGTATGTTGAACTTGTATCGTGTGACTTTGATGAACTTATTGATTCTAGGAATTTTTTTTGTAGATTTTTTTGGGGTTCCCTACATAGACAATCATGTCATCTGCAAAAAGGACAGTTTTATTCTTCTTTCCTACCCGTATGTCTTTCATTTCCTTTCTTGCTTTATCGCACTGTCTGGAACTTCCAGAACTATGTTGAATAAGAGCGCGAAGGGAGACGTCTTTCTCTTGTTCTTGATCTTCAGGAGGAAGTATTTCTTTTTCTTTCTTTTTTTTTTTTTTTTTTTTTTTTTTACCAGTAAGTGTAATATTGGCTGTAGATGTTTTGTAGATACTTTTCATCAAGTTGAGAAACTTGCCCCCTGTTTCTGTTTTCTGAGAGATTTTATCACAAGTAGGTTTTGACTTTTGTCAAAAGCTTTTCCTGCAGTACTTGATACGGTCGTGTGACTTTTCTCCTTTATGCCGTTAATGCGGTGGATCACCCTGATCCATCGCTGGGCAACCCTTGGCCATGATATATGATTCTTCTCACATCATAAATCTGTTTGCTAATATTTTTCTCCATCTGCATTCATGAGAGATTTTGCACCATAGTTTTCTTTTTTGTACCATCTTTGGTCTTGGGGTCCGGATGATGGCCAGATTCGTGCCATTAATTAGGAAGCATTCTCCCCTTTTCTGTTTTCTGGAAGAGGTTGTATAGAATTCGTGTTAATTCTTTTTTTAAACATTATGTAGAATTCTTCAGTGAAACCATCGGGGCCTGGAGACTTCTTTCCTTGGAGTTTTAAAATTACAAATTCAGGCTGCTTAATAGAGGGCTCTACAAATGAGCTGTTTCATAATTGGTGAATTGTGGTAGTTTGTGCTTTTTGAGGAATTTGTCCATTGTATCTAGGTTATCATGTTCATATGACTATCACATTTATTCACAGAATTCCCCTTTATCCATGTGATACCCACCGGGTCTGTGGTCCTATCCCTGCTAGTCTCCTGATACTGGTAATTCGTGCCTTCTCTTATTTTTCCTTTTTCAGTCTTTGTAGAGATTCTTTAAAAAAAATTCTTTTTAAATGTTTATTTATTTAAAAAAAAATTTTTTTTTTCAAAGTTTATTTATTTTTGGGACAGAGAGAGACAGAGCATGAACGGGGGAGGGGCAGAGAGAGAGGGAGACACAGAATCGGAAACAGGCTCCAGGCTCTGAGCCATCAGCCCAGAGCCTGACGCGGGGCTCGAACTCACGGACCGCGAGATCGTGACCTGGCTGAAGTCGGACGCTTAACCGACTGCGCCACCCAGGCGCCCCTTAAATGTTTATTTTTGAGAGAGAGAAAGAGAGAGAGCGTGCGCGAGCTGGGGAGGGGCAGAGTGGAGGAGACACAGAATCTGAAGCAACCTCCAGGCTCTGAGCTGTCAGCACAGAGCCCGACATGGGGCTCGAACTCACAAACTGTGTGGTCATGACCTGAGCCAGAGTTGGACGCTCAGCCAACTGAGCCCCCCAGGCGCCCCAGGCTTTGTAGAGATTCTAAAGATCAATTTTATTGATCTGCTGAAAGCATAAGCATTTCCATTCATTCCCTTTATTATTTTTCTCTTCCAACTTTATTTATTTCTTCAATTTTCCTTATCATTTCCTTCCTTCTGCCTTCTTTGGGTTTGTTATGCTTTTCTTTCACTAGCTTTTTGAGGTAGGAGTTTAAATTATTGCTTTGTGATGCTCTCTCTTTTCTAACATAAGCCTTTAGTGCTCAACATTTCCCCCTCAGCACTGTGTTAGCTGCATCCCACACATTCTGAGATGGCGTATTTTCACTGCCATTCATTCGGTGTTTGTTGTTGTTGATGTTACCCTTGACACTTCCTCTTGGAACACGTGGGTTACTTTGTGGTATGCTGATTCGTTCCAAGCGTTCGGAGATTTTCCTGTTATCTTTCTGTTGTTGACTTCCAATTTGACTTTATTCTGAGCAGAGAACACACGCTGTATGATCGCAGTTGTTTCAATTTGCTAAGGTTTGTGTTACGGCCTGGGAGAGGACCTCTCTAGGAGCAGCATTCTGGGTCCCATCAGGAAGTAGAAATCACACAGTGGGTTAAACAAGAGAAGGTTAAGATGAGTACTAATAACTGTAGAGATGGCTGTAAGATGTAAGGAAACTTTATGGGGTACTTTAGGGTTGAGAGGAAGGACGGACTTGGAAGAGGTTCCTGCCTCATTGGAGAGGCTATAGCTTGGCTCTCGAGCTGCGGAGAAGCTGGCTGGCTTAGCCAGACTGGAGCTCGCCTGGAGTTGCTGGGTGAACAGTGGACCGCATTCTAGAGCGTAGGCGGTCAGCGGGTGATGGACAACAGGAGACATGGGTGTACGTTGGGAATCTGGGCACCAGGGGGAATGGAGGCCTTTGGAGCTGATGGTCTGCATGGGTGGGAGGCGGAGTGGTTCTCTGTGGGCGCCCCAACCAGAGGTGCGCTGTGCACA